CTGCTGCTGCTACGGCTACTGCTGCTGCTGCTGCTCCCGCTACTGCTGCTACTGCTTCTGCTACTTCTTCTGCCGCTTCAGCAACAACAACGACGATGACGACGACGATTTCGACGACGACCTAGACGACGGCGACAACGACGGCGACGACTGCGACTGCCACTTCGACGACGACGATGATTTGTCGTACATCTATGTTATCTTATTGCGAACCTCCCAATTCGATCCGAGGCTAATCCGGGGTTTCTAATGTGTTTCACATAAATGCCACCACTGCTTCACTTGGCCTGGTCGCCGAGCGAAGAGCACACTGGACGATAGTAAGTTGCAAGGGGGACGTTGACCGGGCTGGCCATATTCCACCAGGCTCGAGGTGCGAGCGACTTAACGCACGTCCATCTCCTAATCGTTGCTGCTGCTCCATGGCTCTCACCGTGTCGGTATCGACGGTCAATGGGAAGACCTTCGAGGTTCAGTGTGAGAAGGAGGACACTGTGGGAATTGTTCGTGCAGAGCTTGAGCAGAAGCACATTGAGGCGAGGCGGCCGAAATTGCATGTGAATCAGCATCGTCTCACGAGAGTACGGGCTAGTGGCTAGGGACAGGCAGCATTGATGTAGCACTCAGGCAGAATTCTCGTGTGCAGTGCCCCGATGTCAAGACTGATGTCAAGCAAAACAGTTTCTGAGTCAGACGGTCTGTTACGCTGTCAATGACTAGTCTCCTGATTTTAGAACCCAGTGAGGCCCACCAATTCTCACACGGAGCCCTAAATATGCTCACCAAGACCTCAGAAAAAGAACACCCAACTTCATGTGAAAATAAGGCAGCTGACTGAAGCTTCGTCCAAGCCCAGTTGTCAGGTCCCGGCCGGCTGTTTCTTGAAGCTCTTTCACGGACCACAGGCGCGAGGGTTGTGTGCTCATCCAGCTAGAACCGCTCTCGACCTCTATTTCTCTTTGGCGATACCTGACACCACTAATTGGAATGAAGTGTTGTTACTTAAGTCTTTGTACTGTTCTGTCCCTCTGCTGAAGCATCATGGAAAGTATGTGCGAGTGGCCATCGGCGGTTGATAGCAGATTGATGGTGGCACAGTCGAAATCTTGACATATTTGTCTAGAGCGACCCTTTGTCCGAGCCAAAAAAGCTTAGCTCGTCAGCTGAAGCATTGCGTAGCGAAGGAAATCGGGTTTGTTTGTGCTCAGCACCACACCGCGAGAATTGCCACTGCTGCTGGGTTGATGGTCTGTGTCTTTGGTGAAAATTAGGGTGAAGAACGGCAGGCGAGGCAATGCCGGCAGTCATCAAGTTTCAAAAGGTAAAAATAGGAGCAGCCTGAGGTTACAAGGTTAGGTGGTCTCAACCATTTTCAAAGGCGTCATAGTACTCCTGTTTGATCCGGCATCAGAGCGAGACAGCAGCTAAGGAGGGGTAGGGACGGGAGGGGCTGTACGGCAACTTGGGCGGGCACCTGAACTTTCCAAAATGTTTGTACATGTCGACAGTGGTAGAGGCCCTTCACGATGGCGTCACGGTGGCAAAACTCGACCTGTCGCAGCCCGTTTTCGCCGTGATCGGGCGGGAGACCAAAGTAGAAGTTCTTCTGGAGGCCGCAGGCGCTGCTACCGGGGGGAGGGGGGGATGTGGCTCGAAGCATAAGGCTGGTGGACCTGACTTTCCCAATGTTGCAGGTTCGTGGCTAGGCTACAAGGAACTGGTGCAGGCGGCAGCGGCTTCCTGCGAAGGACACTTAGCCTTGTTCGGGCCAAAAAAGGGCTTTGTCGCTCTTCTGACTTGTTTCGGCAGGACAGAAGGTCAAGGTCATCAAGAAGATTCCTTCCATTCTCGATGTGTTGGAGGAGACCATGATTTCAAGTTAGCTGAGCCCATTGAATTCGATGCCGCCTGGACTCGCATGCCTGTGCATGCCATGCGATGGCTTGGTGTGAGGTGCAAGCAGGTCTTTGGAATCATTCCTTCCATCAAACATCTGGCAGGACATGGGTGGGCAGAAACCGGAAGTCGCTGATCTTCGCCAGGGCGAGAAGGGCTTGCAGTTCAAGGCGGAGAACGGACACCTGCTGTTGCTTGCATGCAAATACCGTCCCTGTGCCAGAAAGTGAGTCGAAACAAAGAAGCCCTCCAGCAAGGATCCACACAGCACTGCAGTTTCTAAAGCTGAGCTACGACATGCAGCAGGCTGTCCTTCTAGCACGCTGGTCGGCACCTCTAGCATTAAAGTTGTCTTGCCACTAGGCTTGCCTAGATTAGACGCTAGTCAGGATCTTGGACGAGGCCTACTAGCCTTGCACTTGCAGGGGCTGGTCACCCCGACGGTACTGTTTCGCCACTCGAATCAGCAGTTTGTGGAAACACCAAGCCCGAGTTGCAGTTCTGCCCGCACCTCCAGGCGAGTGGGTACTGATTCCCTCCCTCTCCGATTGGCTTCGATAATGGGGGTTCGTGATCACGGTGGTAGGACTCAGAGAGAGAAAGCGCTTGTCACAGCAGTCGCACGAAAAAGCCGCTGCCGTGCTGGCAAGGAGGCACAAGCTTCTGACAGCCTATCGGAACAGAAAGTCACATCTCAGCTCAGCGCAAGAGATGCAGCCTAGGAAGAAGTCGCCAAGACCACAAAGTTTGGGATGCGTCGACCAATTTTTCAGTGTTTTGTTGTTGGCAACACAATGAGAGACACATTGTTGTCTTCCGATCGCCACGCTTCTGAGGTTACCGAGTCTCAACCTCGAAGATCTGCGAGGGTTTTCCAAAGTGATGTTCTCCGTGAAGCTGAACTCTGATGTCCACAATCAAGGCCGATCAAGAGCTTGTTTCATAGGCCAGTCGGATGTGCCAGTAGACTCGAAACTTATGCATCCATGGGAGATGTGCTTGCTTAAAATCTCACACGAGCCTGTCGCCACTCTGTTGATGCATGTGCATCCATCTCGCCATACCAACACCATGCCATGCTGATGATGATGATGATGATGGCAATTTCGAAACATGGTCAGTCAAGCAAACAAGTGGAAATGCTTTTGCTCTTCCTGCGTTGAAACTAAAGTCTTTGTAGCTTTGCATGCCAAGCCCCGCCCTGCACTTGCTGAACCGATTGTGCGCTTGCGTGTTTAACTCGACCATCGTTCGACCGAGTGGGCTTTGACTTGTTCCAACTGGGCCAGCGGGGATCAACCCTCCCGACTGGACAAATGTCGCACGTGCAGTGCACACACAGGTGTTTAGCATTCTTTTTGGTAGCATCTTGGGCTGCTTGACATCCAGACGTGCGGAATCGTTCCTTTTGAGGATGAGCCTGGCAGTGCGATGCAACTCAAGGTTTGAGTTTGAACTGAGCACTTTAGGCTAGCATGCAAGCCCCAGCAGCTTCTTCAATAGTTTGGTCGAGCTACTGTCAATAGCCAGCCGCTCAATGAGCGTTTGGCAACGAGGTACATACGGCTTTATCTGCGGCCCGCCTCCTTCTCTCAACCGCTAGACAAGGGGTTTCCAGCTACAGAGGAATGGCAACGTAAAGCTGGTGAGAGGACCCCGCAACCCAAACTCTTCAACTCCGATCTGTGGCCGACAGGAGTCACAGGGGCAAAGGGGCACATGGAAGCCGCGAGAACTTTTTCGAAGACTTATGGTACAAGCAAGTTGCTGTCTCTTGTGGCCATCAAAAGACTTGAAGCAAAAGCTTTCTCCATTTACTCCAAAGCTATCAAGCTTGGGTCACGGCCACGTGCATGAGTGCCCAACCGTGCTGATTTTTCCTGGAGGTCTTCTCGGGAGCTTAGTTACTGTAGCTGACTTCGCGGCACGGCTGGCGGTCGGGTGAGAGCGGTTGGTTGCATGATGTTGCATTATGGATGCTTGGTCATGACGGATTGACCGCCGGAGCATCTGCCTGGGATTCCTGGCAATTACCGTCATCATATCTCAAGCGAGTTCCTTGAATCCGGTCTCCTAAGAAGATGGGCATCTGCGTTTTCTTCCCGGCGCGTGAGGTGTTGGCTTGATTTTTGGCTGTTTTCGGACTGGCTCTTGGGTGTGCCTCCAAGCACGCATGCGAAGCGTTCGAAAACTTCGACTTTGTGAGAGAAAAGACGTAGCTTCGAAGGTCATGTATGGCACTTTGGCAATCAGGATTCCTGCTGCCACCCTTAAGCCTGAGCAAATCAAGACAGCACTGAGGTCTCGGAGTTGTCGTGGTGCAACCCAGCTCCATGCAGTGTGCCTCAGCTTCCATGGACAAGGCCGAATAAGCACTCAGCGGATGATTGGTGGGTGTAGGGGATGCATGAACAGATAAGGCCAAGATGTGTAGCGAAAGAACTGGTCCTCTCAGGCGACAAGGACCAAGAAGGCATCCCCAAGTTCCTCTACAACGGGTATGGGTTGAAAGCAGACAAGAACAGCAATGCGATCAAGCACCTCGGAGAAAAGGAAACGACGAAGCTTGGTACTATAATTCGTCGCTGCAGAGGCAGCAGCAGCACTAGCAGCAGTAGCAGGTGTTGGTGGCAGTAGTATCACTAGCTACTTGCACAGCGGCAGCAGCAGGAGTAGTAGTAGTAGTAGTAGTAGCAGCAGTAGTAGTAGTAGTAGCAGCAGTAGTAGTAGTAGTAGTAGCAGCAGTAGTAGTAGTAGTAGTAGCAGTGGCAGCAGCAGCAGCAGCAGCAGCAGTAGTAGTAGTAGTAGCAGTAGTAGGAGTAGTAGGTAGTAGGTAGTAGGTAGTAGATAGTAGGTAGTAGGTAGTAGGCAGTAGCAGTAGCAGTAGCAG